AGACATCAATTAGTTGCATATGAATTGGTAAAGAAAAAATAAAATTATCTTTATATACGATACGATAGCATATTTTGAAAAGTCAGATAATGCTTAAACCATAAAAAAGTCAGTAAAGCAGCATGAGGGTAGTAGGATATAAAATAAGCATTCATAAATCAATAACATTGATACACAAAACTAATAACCAGTAGAGGGCATTATAGTTGAGAAACTACCCTTCACATCAGGGAAAAGATTAAATACTTAGGACTCAATTTTTAAAATGTGAAAAATCTGTATGAGTAAATCTTTAAAATATTCCTGAAAGATGCAAAATAAATATGAAGAATTGCAAAGACAGCCCATGTTCCCATATTAGATGACTCAGTGTTATGAAGCTGTTAGTTCTCTCAAAGTTAATTTACAAATTTAACGCAATCCCAATAAACAAACAAGTATTATGAGTTTTTTTTTTAGAGAGCTAAATTTATTATTGTTAAAAAATGCAAAAATAGGGGACCTGGGTGGCCCAGTCAGTTAAGCAACCAACTCTTGACTCTGGCTCAGGTGATGATCTCAGAGCCTGCTTAAGATTCTCTCTCTCCCTCTCTCTCTCTCCCCTCCCACCCCTACTCTCCCTCTCAAAAAATAAATAAATAAATAAATAAATAAATAAATAAATAAATAAAAAGAAGCCAGAAAAACTGAAAGGAAAAACAAAACAAATGAAAATATGACATGGAACTAGCCTTATAAGACATTAATAGAAAACGTTTTAGCCTCAATATACTGTTGAATCTCTACTATTACTATAATGTAGTGACACATAGAAAAACAGATGAGGGAATGGAACAGAAAGATCAGAAATAACCAAAGTTCATAAGAAAATGTAAAATATGAGAAAGTGGGTATCTCAAATAACAGAAGTAAAGATTGATTTCTTTCATAAATGATGTTTAACCAACAGAAAAGCCATTCAGTAAAGAGACAAATTAGATTCATACTTTGTACCATACAGTAACTCCTAATGGACTAGGGAATTAAATATAAACAAATAAAACCATGCAAGTACTAAAAGTAGCCATCAATGAATTCTACTCAAAGTGAAATATAGCCAGTAACACTTGAGTCAAACTATATTAGAAATGAATAAAATAACCATTGAAGGGAATAGGAAAGATAAGAACCTAAGTTAACTTTGTTGAACAAGATTTTAATTACATTCTGTAAAGCTAAAGATGAAAATAATTGTACTTGAGTATTTTATTCTAGTTCATTTGTTTTCATAGACAAATGACAAGTTAAAATTTTAGAACCATATTTTGTATTTACTGGAATTGAAAAGATAAGAAAATATACTATGGATAAATCAGAGCCAGGTGTCTCACTGTTGGAAAAAGGAATTACAAATAAGGAAAGAGGAAACACTAGAACGAACCCCATGGTGTTTAGTTCGGAAGCAGAACTGTCAGTATGAACTCACGGTTTATAATACATGTAAAAAGGGGCAGATATAGAAATATAGATGCCCATGAATGTGTTTGTAGAACATGTATTTTCTACTTCTGCTCACTGAAATGGTTCAGAAGCAATAACACCCAATATTAATGAATATATCTACTGCCCTGATCTTGATTTCTAAATACCTTGGAGAAATGGTGAATTTTATTGCTTGGATCAAGATGAGCCAGGAATATCTTATGTACTAAAAAGTAAGGATGTGATCAGAAAATGATGGTGATGTATGAAAGGACACAGAAGCCAAACTATAGGAAGTCCCAGTGCCAAATTTATTTTGAGCAACAAAATAATGATAATAATGGGTTATAAGCTATAAAATAAAACATATGTATAAGTCTACACTGAGTATAAATGAATAGATAAATAAATGGAGGATAAGCCTCAGCTCTTCCTTATAGTAGAATTACAAATAATATGCATAGAAGGAGTGATGATAATAATGAGTCACCATTTGGCACACAGAACAGTAATAAATACTGTAACAGATAAGAATCATTGATGGATACTAGCTTAATGGACAAACATGTGCTGAGACATTTTTACATAGTTGACTGTCCTCCTGACAGTACCTCCTCACAACATATGTATTAATCTAGAAGGGGAAAAATAATAACTTTACAGTGGAGAAACCTAGAAGAAACCACACTAAACCAAGTATTAAAATTAATATCACCAGCAATAGGATATACTAACATCATGTACCTCCTGATAGAACACACTGAAAGGGCACAACATCACTTCCATGTTATCCTTAGCAAAAATGTATCAACTCAGTGGAATAATGAAAATATCAGACAAACTGACAGACATTCCACTGGCCAGTACTTTTTAAGGTTATCAAGTTTATGAAACATACAGAAAAATAAAAATTATATCAGACTGGAGGAAAATAAAGAGACATGAGAACAAAATGCATTGTGGGATCCTCGTTGTAGTTCCGAAACAAATAAAAAGACATTAGTGAGGCACATGCCATAATCTAAATAAGGTTTGTAGATTAGTTAATGGTATTCTTGATATTGTTTTCTTGACTTAGGTTAGGATTTCTATGGTTATATAAAATGTTAACATTACGGTTAAAGGGTTTGTGGAAATTCCACGTATGGATGCTATTTTATTAAGTCTAAGTTTTACCTTAAAATTAAATAATTAAAGCAATCTGAGAAAACAGCAAATTACATATGAGGAAATTAGATTAACATAATAAGCCAAATGTTATAAAACAATGAAATTTAAGAAAATTTTTCAGAGCCCCCAGGCCGCTCAGTCGGTTAAGCGGCCAATTCTTGGTTTCCGCTCAGGTCATTATCCCAGGGTCTTGGGATTGAGCCTCCCTGCTGGGCTCCCACACTCCATAGTCAGTTTGTGGATTCTCTCTCTTTCCCTCCCTCTGTTCCTCCCCCTGCACATACGCTCGCACTTTCTCTCACTCTCTCTCAAATAAATAAGTCTTAAATAAAAGTAAAGAAGAAAATTTTTCAACAGAGAAAATTGACAAAGCCAAATTTTTATTTTATGACAATACTAATAGAATTGAAAAAGTCTTTCAAGATTGATTCATAAATAAAAGAACAGATTACTAATATCAGAAATGATAAAGGGGAAAAAAACTCAGATCCTAGAAACATTAAAAATATCACAAAAGTTATTATGAAACAATTTAACACTAGTAAATTTGAAAATTTCTATTCCGTAAGAGGTTCAGCTTACTAAAACTGACTATTAAAGTAATTGAACTGTTAAAAAATTCTTCCCCAAATTAAACTCTAGGCCAGCATGACTTCACCAAATAATTTTCCCAAATATTTAAGGAAGAAATAGCATCCATTTTAGATAAACTCTTTCAAAGATGAAAAGTGAGGGAAAACAGAACTCATTTGTAGACCTTAGCATGATCTTGGTTCCAAAACTGAAAGAGACATTACAGGAAGTAAAATAAATGGCTAATGTCCTTTATGAACATAGATGTAAAATTCCAAAACAAAATATAAAACTGAATCTAGTGATATTTTTTAAAGTTACCATATCACAACTAAGTGCCATTTATTCCAGATATGAAAATTTGGTTTAAGGTTTAAAAATTAGACAGTTACTTATAGAATAAATGGTAAGTAGAATAAAGGGCAATATACTAATCCATATGATTATTTCAATAGATGTACACAAATTATTTGAAATATTAAGGAGGAAAAAAGAACTCTGGCAAAATAAGAAGAGAAAGGATTTACAAAGAATGTCTTAAAAAAAGAAGCCTACAGCAATCATACCTAATAGTGAAACATGAATTGCTCTCCCTGATATTAGGAACAGACCAAAACTATCCAAAATTTACTCTAGTCTTAGCCAATGCAACATGGCATGAAAAAAGTATAATTTTGGAAATAAAGTAAAATATTCATTATTTGCAAATAGATACTATTTGCAATGTAGTCATTATTTGTAAGTCATTATCTTTGTAGAGAATCTAGAAGAATAAAACAGTAAGTAATTAAAATTTCACAAGGCTCCTGTGGACAAAATAAATATGCAAAATAACTTTTTTCTATATACTGCTAATATAAAATTAGAAAATAAATTTTTAAAAATCTATTTACACTTGCAACAAAAATTCCAAATACATAGAATTAAATCTAGTAAAATATATTCAACACTTCTTCATAGGAAACAATAAAAATACATATATAAATAAAGAAATACATGATGCTCATGAATTTAGGATAGTAAAAATTCAGTATGGTAATGATTTCAATTTCCCCATAGTGACCATAGATTTAATGCAATCCCAATGAAAATGCTGGCTGGTTTATAATTTTTGTTTGTTTTTAATAAGTCATTGGGGGGGGGCGCCTGGGTGGCTCAGTCGGTTAAGCGGCTGCCTTCGGCTCAGGTCATGATCCTGGGGAGTCCCAGGATCGAGTCCCGCATCGGGCTCCCTGCTCAGCAGGGAGTCTGCTTCTTCCTCTGACCCTCTTCCCTCTCATGCTCTCTGTCTCTCATTCTCTCTCTCTCAAATAAATAAATAAAATCTTTAAAAAAAAAAAATAAGTCATTGGGGGGGACTTAGAAGTTAATTATTATAAAACTTATACATAAATGCAAATGACTAAGAAAAACAAAGTAGGATTACCAACACCATTACCGGCTTATAATTAATTAAAACAGTGCTGCATTGGCACAAAATTAGCACCCTACTTACCTTTCAAATATTCTCTTTTATGAAATACCTCTTAGCTTTTCAGGCAGTTTTATCAAAACTTTACTATTGTACCCTTTATTGTAGCAGTTGTAAAATAATTACATCAAAAATATTTATATGCCTTTCTTCCCACGTCAGACTGTGAATTTCTCAACAGTGCCAGTTTAACTAATAATTATCAAACCTAGCAGTCTCTGACATACAGCAGATACGCAAGGAATATGAGCTATATGATTAAAATAACATCAGTAAATAAGGTTTCCATAGTCACCAAAATCCCAAACAGATAACTCAAACTTACCTCCTATATCTGGGCGAAGTTTATTATCATAGCCTTGAAGCAATGAGTTGAGAATTTGTGTTATATCTCCTTCATGAATCTTTGGTGCCAAGACCCAGGTTTTGTTCACTGTTAAATCCTCATCATCTTCGTCATCCACTTTATCAACACTAAATAATTCAAAAACATTTGAATGAGAGAAAGTTCAACCAAATTCTGTATTGAAAAACACAGTTTAATATAATCACAATTATTATAATTTTGTTAGGAAATAGTAAGAGAGGAAAATGCATTAATAATATTTTACATTCAGTAAGGCTAATGCTTTCCTCATATGAACCATCCTGATATAATAATACTCAAAAATTAAGACTTCAGTACAAGAAACATAACACATAATATTGAAATAATAAATTAAACCTTGGCCACCACAGCTGTCATTAAATGTCGTAGAGATTAGGCACTGAAAATGTGAACGGTGGTCATAGATTTGTGCAGTACACACTCTGCACAACTGTACATGGTGACTCTAAACCACCATACCCAAAAATACAAAATTAAAAGGTAAATAAATACAGGAAAAATTGTAATAACTGGTGAGATATTTAAAAATGCATGTGTAGAAAAGAAGACTAAAGGAAAAAGTATTGAACACATCTATGTTTCTTCCTTTCAATTCAGAAGAACACAGGCATCATATTCCAAGAACTTTGTCAGAGATTGTCTTGTCATCAAATCATGAATGGGTGACTCACCTGCCACATATATGGAGGGGGGTATGACTATCAAGTTTTATGACTAGAAGTGAGACTTTAGAAATCAAATAACACCACTGCCTTTATTTTATAAATGAGAAAACTGAAGACAGTAGGGAACTAGCCAATGCACAAACTCACTTATTAGCAAAGCTGAGAATCAAGTCCTAACTCTCCAGTTAATGCTTCTCACTATACCCCTGGGTTTAACAAGCCCATGGATTCAGCTTAATTCTGCACCATGCTAGAAAATGCAACAATATAGATATTCATCTATAGTTCATCAAAAGTAACAAACTACTCTTCTCTTCATTACTCATAAAGAATGCCGTCTTCAAATGAATGTGATCTTCTTTAGACTCAACACCTACTCTAGTAAATCTCAGTCCTGCAGTGAAAAAAGGTCCAAAGACTAAATACTTACATTGGTGAAGTCAGATAAATCGAAAATACATGAGTTATTTCCATATGTTTCAGAGATAGTCATCCCTCTAGCAGTAAACATGCAAATTTAATTCAATATCTTGAGTTGATTTTTCTACGGTATCCTTGCAGATTTCTTTTGCTTTGGACATAAAACATCTTAGCTAATGCAGCCCTCACTGTCTTTATCCTTCTTAAAATTTTTTCCAGGGCCCCCTGGGTAGCTCAGTCAGTAAAGCGGCGCACTCTTGATTTTGACTCAGGTCACGATCTCAGAGTCCTGAGATGGAGCCTTGCTTCAGGCTCTCAGCTTAGAGAGGAGTCTGCTTAAGGATTTTCTCCCTCTCCTTCTGCCCCTCCCCCCACTCGCATGCACTCTCTCTCTCTCTCAAATAAATAAATCTTTTAAAAAGATTTCCAGTTTTATTGAGATATAATTGACATATATTATACTACAAATTTAAAATGTATAACAGAATAATTTGATATATATATATAGCAAAATTATTACCACAATAAGTTTAGTTAACATCCACCCTTTTTATCCTTAATGAGTACAAATTAACATTATAAATTAAAACTTAACCTTTATAGTATCTGCTACCTCATTTCCTCTCCATAGTAATTCTATTGATAGTTACTATCAGCAGATAATAAGGTGGGCTATTATTCTCAATATTTCTCTCCTTCCTGCCAGAGAATTGTACTTTTCACTCCATTGACATCTAACTTGGTCATGTGACCTGAAATGCTCCTTCCTTACAGGAGGATGATACTTTCCTGATCTATTGAACTCGCATGTGGCCTTGTGATTTGCTTTGGCTAAGGGAATATAAGTGACATGCATCACTACCTAGCAGAAGATTTAATGTCAGTGCACAGTTCACCATATCTCTCTTGTCCTTCTACCAAAAGATGAGTCATACCTGGAGGCTACACCATTACTTCATTCCTAGAGTGAAGACAACATGGACAGAGCAACAGCTGACCTACAATGGCCATGTAGCCTGAGTGAGAAATCAACATTTAGTGTCATAAGCCACTGAGATTTGGGAGTAGTTTACTACCACAGTACACAACTTAAATTCATATGTGAACACTTACGGTACATTTAGTTAACAGGTTTTTAATGAAGAGCTTATTTATATTAATTGTTCTGCTGTCTTTAACTTCAAAAAGTATATACTACAGAAATATAGTTATACGATTTATTTAATATAATTTCTTATTTCCTTCAATAAAATATATACATACACACACACACACATTCATTCATAAACTAAAGCACTGAAAATACTGAAGTATTAAGGATCCCTGCTGGTGTGTCCTCCAGGTAAGTTATCTTATCTAATTAGAATTGCTAAGATACTGGCAACAACCCAAATTTTAGAGCATCCATTTAACTTTAAATCCCAGTTTTATAGAATGAAACATCTGGTGATTAGAGGCAGACCACTGCACATATAAGCAGTTGATCTTTCTTTGAAACATGATTGTAGTTAAATGGAAGTCTCCAGGAAAAAAAAAATAAAAAGCTTTTGCTATTTTTTAACAGTAGCAACATCCTGATAATCCAAAAGCACATGCTCATAGTGAATTATATTCCCATTTTCCCAGCTAGCTCAGAAGTAACATGAGAATCTCAGTGCTATCACAAAGCTAATTGTCCTCATTTTTGGCAATAATAGAAGGGAAATTTCATTACAGTTAATTTTTCTACATCTTCCCTCCAAGCTTTCTAAATTACTTTCAGAATATTCTTTAATTACATTAAGATCTTCTTATTGATATTATTTTGGTGATTAAAAAGTACTTGTCATAATTTTAAAAATAGTTCATATAGTTTATCTGATGTCTCAATATCTTCACAGGCTGGGGGATTTTTGTAATGTTTATATACATTGAGTGACCATTCATTTGGGGGAAAGGAGTATGATTTTCTTAGGTAACACTGAGATTTTCTTGACCCGTGCTCAAGCACTTCTTTTAAATAATTTGGATAAGTATAATTTTATAATTAATGGAAATACATTTACACCCCTAAGTATATAATTTTAGTAACTGTTATTTTATTTATTATTTTTTTAATTTTTTATTGTGATGTTAATCACCATACATTACATCATTAGTTTTTGATATAGTGTTCCATGATTCATGGTTTGTGCATAACACCCAGTGCTCCACGCAGACGTGCCCTCTTTAATACCCATCACCAGGCTAACCCATCCCCCCACCCCCCTCCCCTCTAGAACCCTCAGTTTGTTTTTCAGAGTCCATCATCTCTCATGGTTCATCTCCCCCTCCGATTTACCCGCCTTCATTCTTCACCTCCTACTATCTTCTTTTTTTTTCTTAACATATATTGCATTATTGGTTTTAGAGGTACAGATCTGTGATTCAACAGTCTTGCACAATTCACAGTGCTCACCATAGCACATACCCTCCCCAGTGTCTATCACCCAGCCACCCCATCCCTCCCACCCCACCCCTACTCCAGCAACCTTCAGTTTGTTTCCTGAGATTAAGAATTCCTCATATCAGCGAGGTCATATGATACATATCTTTCTATGATCGACTTATTTCACTCAGCGTAACACCCTCCAGTTCCATCCATGTCGTTGCAAATGGCAAGATATCATTCCTTTTGAT